ATGTTTCTGAAGGTTTCCGGCGGCCAAATTTGTGCCCCTCAAAGGGACATCATCATGGCGTCTCCATACAAAGCCTTATCAATTTGGGTAAAACGTTTTTCCGAATATCTCGCATACGAATTACGCCAGATTCTTGGCGAGGCTTTTTGTATATTTATCTTCTTTCATTTCCCAGATTCTGAACATTCTGTATAGACTGGTTTGTATTTTTACGTTTGATAGCGTGACAGTGAAAACATAGAATATTGGTCTGGCCCTGAGAAACAAACCCACGAACTTCCACTCTGCAGTCAAGCGCTCTTCCGACTGCGTGAGTGGTTCCGTGCGAATTAAATTTAACATTTTCGTTAAAAGCAGGTTTCCTTTATAGGATGTAGTGGAGTCCAAATTTGTCACTACAAGGAGACTGGGCACCACCTTATGTCATTTGAATCAGCAGGTTAACTAGGATTGGTCGAAGATACTCAAAGGAAACCACTGACCACTTCGGTTGCGCAGACTTTGCCACAAATCTCAGTATGGAATGCTGATATTCCTTATATTTTCTGGGGTGGGGGAGGGGAGGGGGTTGTAAATCTTGGTTTCCTCTCCTTAAAACAGCCCCACGAGCTTAGCTTACAGTTTAGAAGGGGTACAAGAAAGTCTATACGTCAAGTTTGTTTCACTTTGCAGAAAAAATTAAGAACGAAAAACAATAGACATTTACCTTTTTCATTACATTAAGTGAAAAAAAAAATTTAATAATAAGAAGTTGGTACAGCAGCAGGGAGTTGAAGTAACGTGATATTTTACGTTAGCAACCTATGTTTGCTAATTCTTATACAATTAAGAATTACAAACCGAATTTTCCTCAGAAATAAGCTGAACTAGTGCTTCCATAACAGCAGCGTAACTCCTGTAATAAAACAACAGGTGTAAAATTGCTACAGAAAATTTCTTTTCAATCCAAAAAAAGTTGAACATGAACAATAATGACAATGATTTTGCTTTGAAATAACAGTCTTTCTATCGACAGTTAAATTGTTAGTGTCTATGAAGTTTTTAACAATAAATGCTGGTCAAACCCGTGCAGCTGGCGGGTTTTGTTTTGTGGTTCGCAAAGTAAGAGTTAAAGCCGCGCAAAAGCTGAACCGAGGTCGAAACAGAAAACGATGGGTTTTTTGTAGTCCTCGGTTCTGCATTCGCGCCGTTGAATCTCTTAGTTTACGAACCACAAAAGAAAAAACACTCCAAAAAAACCGTAAGCTACGCAGGCTAATGCTGGTATTGATTAGGCGAGAGTGTCGGCTCACTGTGTGGGATTCTTAGGTGCACGCTAAGTAATACGGATAACTTTAAAACAGAGCTTTTTGATATCTTACCTGGCGTGTTTTGTATTCTGCCCTAAGTTTAAATATCTAAGAGATTTGTTGGAAGACAGCTTCTCAAGTATCTTGACTAAATCTCCTTCAAAGCCTAAAGCGAGAAAAGGGAGCGATTAGCATTCAAGGAGGCCATAACAACACAGGTTGAGTACTGTAAAGAGGCGTGCAGAATGTCACCCATAAACACCTATACATTGGCAGTAGGCCAATGGCCGTTTTTAGACGCATTTAACGAGCGCGGCGGGCTCGTTTCCAGAACAGCGGCTGGTAATCGAGTCTAAAGTTAAAGTCCTCTGGTGCAATAACGGGAAGCATAAAAGTAGACGAAAACATTGAAAAAAAACACAATTTTCTGAAAAAAGACAAAACATTGACTCTTCCCAGTCGTTTCTGGACGGGTTGGATGTTCCAGTTTAAGGCGTCCCGTTTCAATATTAGACGCATTTAACGTTAAAGTTGTCTGTTAAGTACGTAACAGAAGACGTTAAATACGTCTGTCTTATTTACCGTTTTCACACTAGACTTTAAGTCTTCTAATGACAACTTTAACGTCTCTAGCGTAAAAATGGCCAATTTGATGGAAGAAGAAGTAAAGTGTATATAAAAACAGTGGAAGAGTATTTTTGACGGAAATATTCTTTCCAGGGGGTACCCACCGAAGGGGGAATGACAGGCACCCACTGGGATGAAAATTTTAAGGGGTGGGGTTTAAAAAAAAGTGCCCTCCGTGGGGGAAGTATGCATATTTTCTGGAACTACACATTTTATAAAAAGAAATTTGAATTTTCTTGAGCTTTTCCTTCTTTGACCCCTGTTAGGAGTTTTTAGTAAGGGTTTACGCTGCAGGTTATTATTCATACTCACCATTATCGCTTATATCCAGTCTACTGACACACTTTAGCTTGGATATGTTATCTGAAATGGCTTTGGCTCCAGGACCTCTCAACTACAAGACATCAAATAGAGGCTTGTTTTCATAAGATCGCAAAAGATTGAAAAAATCTTCTTTTCTACCAAGAACAACAATTTTTCACCCCCACACCCCCCCCCCCCCCCCCCACATTTCTACTGTTTTCCAACCACCACCACCACCATCACCATATTTTCATCGTTTTCCTCCACCAACACCACAACCACATCTCTGTTGTTTTCCCTCCACCACCACCACCACACTTCCATCGTTTTACCTCCACCACCAACCGGTTAGTCCACCTTAAAATAGCACATGACTTAATATTAACCACGAAACTACCGCATTTTAATCATGAGATAAAGACAAAACGCTGTGACGTCATCGGCGTTCATGAATTCTTGCCCTCCTTAATGACATTCCCGCCCAAAAAGAGGCCCAGCTGATCTCTACTACACTATTGATGCGTAGTGAAAAATCAGCATGAAGACTGGTTCTTGAGACGAAAATCACACCATCAAGTGCCGCGTCAAAAGGGACGCAGTCGCCATCAAACAAAGGAAACCCTTTCTGAATAGGGACGAGGGAGAGATCCCCCTGGGAATACGTAACAGCCTTTTTAATACGTAACCTCGTTTCATCGCTGATAAAGTTCAAGCGATTCGATTTCGTTGAAATTGTTGGTCTGAGTTTTTGAATTTGTTTGTTTGACAACTGTTGTTGAACATCATGATATAATACAAGAATTAATCAAACGACTGTATTTTGATTACTTTCCTTTTTTGTGGCCATCGTAGCCATCATATTTGAAAAAACGCGTAAAACAATATACATTTCAGGCGAAAGGGGATCAGCACGATTAACAGGCTATTTCCGAGTTCCAAAAACTCTCACGTTCACAACCAGGCCAAGTGTAAAACCTTTCTTGTGAAAACGAGTTTTATTTGGATGAGAATAAGAAATCATTTTCATATCAATGGCTTCGCATTTAGCCTCACTTTGAAACAGAGGCTTGGGGCAACTCTGAAATAGCCTATTACTTACTTCATTGTTGCTTATGTTGATCTCAACATCAGAAAGGACACTGTTCTCATGTAGTCCTTGAAGGATCGCTCTGAGAAATAACAGGGTTAAAAAAACTAATTTAGTGATGTAGCGAAATTTTACAACAATATTTTATCACAAGAGCTTTGAACAATGGAAAAATTTCAAAAGTAGGTGGACTATGAATATGAGCAACAAGCATCTAGAACGTTTTCCAGAGTTATTTTGACCCTATGATGGCCCAGATTTCCAGCCATTCATAAAATTTGTGGTAGCGACTTTGTGTTCAACTCATAATAAGCCCACCAATATGAAGATTAACCCATATTCTGTAGGACAGAGCAGTCACAAGTACTGCCATTGTCCCCTAGAAGCCAAAACATTGGGCTTTCACTAAAACCATTCTCCCAAAAACGTTGTACTTTACTTGCTGATTAGAACTCGACAATGCAATTCAATTCAGGCATTACTCAAGGTATTACCATGCTCATGAAAAGCTAAGAAGTAAGGTTGTACTTACAACTTTATCAGGCTAAAACACTGCTTAGAAAAAGCACTAGTAATTAGTGGTTGATGCTTGGCAGAATGTAGTATGGAAATGATAGTGAGCTGCATGTTGTAAAGAATTACAAAGGAACCAATGGCAGCACCTAAAGAGGCTTTACTTAAACTTGTTTATATCTTACTGCCAGTCTACATAAGCTAGGTTTTAAACAAGATACTTTACCTGACAGCATCTGCGTGCAATTTACAGTCAGACACGTCTAAGAATTTTAGAGCCTGGGAACTGCTGAAAAACTAAAAATAAATACGAAAGACATTTTTTTTTCTGAAAACAAAGTGATTCTCAGAAAAACCTATTCAAATACTGACACTAGTATTGAACATCAGTGACAGTGAAACTCCACCTCACTGTCACCCTGCTATTAAGACCACATATTCTGACCTAAACGTTATAGACCCTCATGCATGAGGCCATTTTCTACCTAGTAACCTCGTTTCCATTACCATCTCGTCAACACTTTCATTCCAAGGCCACGTTATTACGAGAGTCCTTCTAAATTTTAAGATCTGATTGTACACCAAAAATCAAATCAAGGCCTATGGTGTTACCATTCGAATTTTTATTTGCCCACAATTAGCGGCATTAGAAGGGTTAATTGGCAACCAGTTTTTCATGGCCCTTGGGTGGACCCAGGAACTGCTAGTATCCAGCGCGTAGTTCTAATACAAGCAATAACCAAAGATTAGGTAGTGCGGGGGAGTTTCAAAACGCTCTTGTTCCAACGCTGGTGCTTTGCGTAAGTTTCACGTGATAAAAGATCAAAACGCGCGTGATCAGACTACACGTGATAGAAAAGAAGGTCCAAACGAATGCTAGCTATATACGTGCCAAGCATGCGTAATAGCATCCTGGAGATTAGGACTGCGGGCTTCTCTGGTTGCCCGCAATTAAACCATCTGTTCTTATACACCATAACACGCAATGCACTCTTGAAATTAATTTTTTTTCTGTTTGAAAACTGTAGGGAACTTCGTTATCTCACCTGTGTAAAGGATGGTGGTACAACAGCATCTTTACTTTTTCTAAATAAAAAAATACACACAAAGAAATTGAATGAAAGAGAAGGTATATGTACAGGAACTATACCATCTTGTATGCTAAGGAGATTTGTTAAAATGTAGGCTCGGTATCACAATATTAAGAGTCAATTTAAAAAAGACGAACAGAGTCTTTAAATTGGTCACCCAACAAAGTGAAACTAGAAAAAAAGTGAAGTCTCACAACGAGGAATGAAATTTTATGTTGTGACATGTCGCCAAAGGCTGGATTAAGTACATGGACCAACATAAATAATAAAGGGCAAACGTCAATGTTCAAATGAATGTTGCTCCAAATATTCCATTCCCTAAACACTAGAGAAGGTAGTTTTAAGCAAAAGAATTGTTATAAAGATGAGGGTTAATTCGTTTTCTTACTTTGAGGTAAAGTTGTTTCCAGCAAGTTTGATGGAAGATAACTGCTGAGCACATCCTCTAATGAGAGCACCAAATAACTGAAAAAAACGTTTAGAACATTACCAATACGTTTCCATGCCTCAAATGCTTAGGTGTTCAGTTGGGGCAAAACTAAAATTTTTAGAGGTCAGGGTGGAGTGGCAAGAGCTAAAGCCACAAGCAATAATGAAGTGAAGGAAGGCAGTTCATGATTATTCTTAATTCATGCTCACCGATTATTTGTGACTAGAAAACAAAGAAAAACATGCTATGTGAAGTTTTAAGGCTAGGATTGTTGTAGTCTTATTAATCAATACTGACAACTTTGCAAACGTTTGTTTTGAAATTTCTTCACGAATCAATTTGACACAAAGTTAAGGGCAGTAAATGCTATCTAAAAGTTGTGGATCTTATAAAATTTGACCCCGTGCCCAGCAGGGCTGTTGCTAAGATTTCAAGTTGCCAGGTACACTAACAATAATAAGGAAACTGAACAGCTAGGAATTGTTTTACGTTCTGTTTTCCTTTTGTTTCCTGTAAAAGTACCCGAGCGTCATGCTCATCATAGCCAGGGGAAATCCCCCAGCCCGGCCCCTGTCCTTATTAGGGAACTCAAGCAACAAAGACGGCTACGGCTACGAAAACGTCACTTAAAAGGTGAATTCCAGCTGCTTTAAACTTTATCGCTCTTATTTCATCTCGTTCAATTCGTCAAGTTTAAATTCTTAGACTGTATCGAAATTTAAGAAAAGAAAAACAAAGTCGTTGTCTTGTGTTCATGTTCTCCACAACACGTGAAATTAGGCATTTTCACGTTGTAGTCGTGCAGTGAGGGCAAGGACATGTACAATAGAGCGTGATGCACGTACAACGTTGTTGTTTTGCCAATTTAAACCTATTGCTTTGTTGCCGTTCTCGTTGACGTCGCCGTGGTCGTTGCTTAAGCGCCTTATTGACAACTTTGCAGGTGGTGTGACTCCCATATGAAAGGTACTCATTGATTATCATTTCAACAGTTTTCCTTTTTCATTAAGGGAATACATCAGGGGCACCCAACGGCAATTTTCGGAAGAATATCTGTTCGGAAGACGATTTGACATCTACAATTTTCGAAACATTTGTTGTAAAACTCCCTCCAAGATCTAAAAAATGGTATAATTGCTTAAGGGTCACTCATTTTTGATTATCATTTCAACAGTTTTCCTTTTCATTAACTTTCAGCTAAGAAATCCGAACAGATGAAAAATTTTTAGGGGATAAAAATATGCCTATATCTACCGTTTAAATACATATACATAATAATTTTTGAACTATTCAGATCAAAATAATTTGTTCAGATCAAAGTGACCAGAAGTGCTTATTCCCTGATTCCCTGACCTTTGTTCCAAAATGTCTCAATTTTTGTACTCAGATTAAAGTGTCCTGACTTTTCCCGGCCCTTGAAGAATTTAATTTTTCCTTAAACATTTCCTGATCTATGACCACCAATTTTCACCAGATATCTAAATACTTCAACGTCGACTAAAAGACTTCCCTGTATTTTTTTGTTTTTGTTGTTTGTTTCTTGTTTGCTTTGTTTTTGGAATTGGCCTGTTTTTGCCGTTTCGTTTTGTCATGATTTGTTTTGTTGTTGTTGTTTTTTCCACTGCATTTTGTCATGCAAAATGGTACACAAGCATTAGCTGATCAGCAGGGTTTATTATAAAATTATAGAATGTAGTTACCAAGTCAAGAGGACATTCAGTGGATGACAGATCCAAACAGGTTAAAATGTTTGGCTTGGCAAAAAAATCACACAATCCCTGGAAAATCAACGTACAACCATACAGATTCATTAATTGTTAAATATCAAGTAAATAAATAGACAAACACATCAAGAAATAAATAAATAAAGACTGTTGGTTTATACAATTGTACATGGAAGTACCACGAAGAAAGGTACCGAGTTAACTGTTGACTTTAACTAATGACCTACACTGTTTATGTTGTGTAAAGAAAATCCACAAGGAACCTATATGTAGTCTAGAATACCTGTGAATATTACGTCAGTTTACATTCAAAAACTAGAAATTGCTTGAATGCACTGCTTCGGCAGCCAGGCGTGATTCAGGAGCAAGTGACATTCTCCTAAATCTCCAGACAGTGAATTTATGGCAATCTTTCTGCATTATTTTGTTATTATTATTCTTATAACCAACTGAATAAACCCAAAAAAAGATATAAAAAAATTTACAATACAAGCAAAGCCTCATAACCGATACAGGATGCAAGGGGCAGTTGGTGAAAAAGCATACAGCTTCACTGAAAAGCGTTTTCTCTATAATGAACATAACATTGACTTACTGCAACTCCCTCTCCTTTGAAAGGATTTTTGCTGAGATCCAGTCTGGCACCAAAAAAAATCATAAAACAGTGAAGATTTGACAAAGTTTTGGATATTGTTGTGACATGTTTTCCACAAATCAAAATTTAAAATGAAACCCTCTTAAATGCACTAGTCTGCCTTCATGACATCTTCAGTTTGAGTTGATCTACATTACTGAAAACTATCCAAGTTGTCAAAAGTTTGTAAAAAACAATCATGTTAAAAGGGCATCACAAAACTTTCAAGCAGCGACGCAGGTAAAAACTGCACTGCAAACATGTCTTGACTGGAAAGACAAAGGATATCTAAAGTGAAGATTAGCATCTTCAAATTCACTTACCTCTGCAGAGAACTTTCATTATATTTATTGGATTTTAAAGCCTGGCCAAGTGAACTTGCTCCTGCAGAAAGATGTACAGAGATAATGTCACCATAACCCTCTTATGCATCATGTAAGGTATTATAGAGACAATGATTGTGACGTTGTTCAAATCTCCTGATGTGACCCTGAAAACTCTTAAGAAGTACTTTCAAATGCTGCTATCGAGTTTGTTATACTGTACTTTAACTGGCTCTAACTAATGTGGCAATGGATAAAATATTAAGTTGAGGAGCAATGACACTATTTATGATGCTGTATCGACTGGTTCTGAGTCTGTGGAAGAAATCCTCTGGTGTGACCATTCAAATAAAACTTCTTCAAAGTACATTGACATCACAATCAAGTTGAATAAAACAACACATGACCAGACCCTAACAAAGTCTAACTATCATTTTCTTGAGAATAAGTAGCAGAAAACCACTTAGAAATGAGACACGACCCTCTTTCACCCTAGTCACCCAAGTCACCTTAGTGACTCAAGTCACCCTAGTCACCCTAGTCACCCAAGTCACCCTAGTTATGCAAGTCGCGGAGGTCACTCTAGTCACCTTAGTCACCCAAGTCACCCTTGTCACCCTTGTCACCCAAGTCACCCTAGTCACCCAAGTCACCCTAGTCACCCTAGTTATGCAAGTCACGGAGGTCACTCTAGTCACCTTAGTCACCCAAGTCACCCTTGTCACCCAAGTCACCCTTGTCACCCAAGTCACCCTCGTCACCCAAGTCACCCTAGTCACCCAAGTCACCCTAGTCACCCAAGTCACCCTAGTCACCCAAGTCACCCTAGTTATGCAAGTCGCGGAGGTCACTCTAGTCACCTTAGTCACCCAAGTCACCCTTGTCACCCAAGTCACCCTAGTCACCCTTGTCACCCAAGTCACCCTAGTCACCCAAGTCACCCAAGTCACCCTAGTCACCCAACTCACCCTTGTCACCCAAGTCACCCTTGTCACCCAAGTCACCCTAGTCACCCAAGTCACCCAAGTCACCCTAGTCACCCAACTCACCCTGGTCACCCAAGTCACCCTAGTTATGCAAGTCGCGGAGGTCACTCTAGTCACCTTAGTCACCCAAGTCACCCTTGTCACCCAAGCCACCCTTGTCACCCTTGTCACCCAAGTCACCCTTGTCACCCAAGTCACCCTAGTCACCCAAGTCACCCAAGTCACCCTAGTCACCCAAGTCACCCTTGTCACCCAAGTCACCCTAGTCACCCAAGTCACCCTAGTCACCCAAGTCACCCAACTAACCCTAGTCACCCAACTCACCCTTGTCACCCAGCTCACCCTAGTCACCCTAGCCACCCAAGTCACCCTTGTCACCCAACTCACCCAAGTCACCCTAGTCACCCTCGTCACCCTACTAACCCAAGTTGACCAAGTTATGCAAGTCACCCAAGTCACCCTAGGAACCCAAGTTGACCAAGTTATGCAAGTCACTCAAGTTACCCTAGGCACACTAGTCACTCAAGTCACTATTATTACCCAAGTCACCTTCAGGGTTCGTACTCTTTTGAGCTCTTCAAATGACATGACTTTCAGTGACTTTTTTGCATGAGTTTTTGCAGTTTTCCAGCACTTTAGGTATACACATGTAGCTGTCACTTATGGAAACTTTTAAAGCTATCCTTTTTTAGGGCATTTTTACCTAGCTCAGTTTAACAGATGACTTTTTAGTGTCTACCAAAATGCGTGCCATTTTTAAAAGCTGTTTAATTACATCTTTTTGTCCTTGTTTTGGAGTGTGCACGAACTAATATAACAAATGTAACTTCAATTTTCAATGACTTTCCATCCCTACAATAAATTTCCATGACTTTACAGGCCTGGAAAATGAAACTCTTACATTTCATGACTTCCAAGGTTTTCCATGACCTGTAGAAACCCTGCAGGGATGTGTTATATTAAGTCTTACCACACATTGTGCAGTGAGCTGGAAAGAAAATCAGTTGTTATATTGGGGTGTGGGTAATATAAATTACAGAGGTTCATTATTATCATGTTTCCAAGACATCCAGCATTACCTTTGGGGGTGATACCATTCTCAGCGAGAGAAAGAGACACCAAGCCATGAGGGAGCTTGCTAAACACCCCAGATAAATGGATCACACCTTGACATCAAGGAGACAAAAATCAGAGAGAGACACAGCAAACGTCTAATGATTTACTTCACACTGCAATAGTCAGTATCAAAAAGATAATCATGTAATGCAGCACAAGCTATTTGATTTTGTTGTTGTTGCTATGCGTACAGTAATGCATTATTTCTTTCTCATAGAGGCTATCAGATCTACTGTCCTGATTTTTATTGCCATTATGCTGCCTTGCATTTTTAACGACCCCCAAAAAAGAAATCACAAAATGTAGATAATACAATATAATTAGTAATGTAGCTGAGAGATTTATAATTTTTATTATTTAGTGGCATGAAGATTATTGTGCTGAAACATGACAGACTTCTACCCTTTTTATTACTATATGAATCTCTCCTAGGGCAGACTGTTTTGTTATGGTTGATTTTGATTCTGTAGTTACAAAACATACCTCTGTCTTCAATAGCATTACCATTCAAACTCAAGGAGTTTAAAGCTGTTTTGGGGTTAGATGTAAGAGCCAGGGCAAGTTTCTGACAGTAATCTCTAAAAGGAATTTGCAGCAAAGTATTAGTATTTAGCAATAAACAACTCACGAGTATTTGTTCGTTAGTATTTGCACCCACAATAGCTACATGTGCAGGGGTGGATCTAGGATTTTCCTTCTTAGGGGGTGCACCACTAAGGAATGGCATAACCGACTGGTGAGGTAAACAAATTTTAAAAGCGAATACAAAGAAGGCTTTGACTAGGCAACAACATAATGTGAACTGCTGAGAATACATATCAACATATCAACCACATCAACCTCATCTTATGTTTTACTTCAACACCAATAAACCATGAAGATTTTATTTTTTTTGCAGAATAACAGTTGTATTAGAAAGCCGCATGGTGTGCACTCCGTGCACCCTCTCCCTACATCCGCCCCTGATGGGCCACTTTTCATTTCTTGGTAAACTCTATGACTACTAGCAGGTGAAGTGTGAAAAGTAAAAAAGGGTCAGAGTTTTTCTAAGATCACACACTGATTTAATTACAGTTGAAACCACTTTATAACCTGATTTTTACTTTAAACTACAAACACACATTGAAAGAGGCCCTTCTGAGTCTATTAACCAAATCCTACATGTATTATCTATACTCTGAAATATTATGTCCTTATCAAATGAAACCTCGTATTTTTCTTGTACATGTACATCAATGTTATTTTTTTATTTTGGATGTTCTCTGAGGTGTGAAATGAGTTTTGCAATGTACATAGTCCCTTAGCGCTAAAGTTAATGCCACCAGCTAAAACCACTTGGGAGATTGGGGATATACAAGTAAAAACTAGAGTCAACAGTTAAATTAGAGCCCAGCTCTGTTGTGCAAGACAATACATTTATAAATGTGGTTAAAGTGCTCTACATCCATACAGCAGTACAGTACAATATATAGTACAGTATCTTTATTAAATCTCCACTATGTGAGCCCTCTTCCGATTTAATTAACAAATTTGGAAAAGGAAAGAAGAAAAAAAAAGTGTAACTTACAAATTTAATAATTAATAATAAATGGAAAAAATTAAAATAAAATAAAAATAGCCACAATAATATTTTGTATATACTATATACATATACTTAATTATTGACTACAAATCAAAAATCTAAACAATATATTTTTTAATAAATCAACTTGCCCTCAAGTTTACCTTATAATGCCCCATGCAAAGATAAATAATTGAATCGTACTATCCAAAGAAATTACCTTCCAAACCCAACATTATCAAAAACCAACTCTTCAATTGATGATGATTTTTTGATGACTCTTATAATTGCATCACAGACCTCAGATCCCTGAAACAAAAAGAACACTGTTGTTTACTTGGCTTTAAAATTTGTTCATTAGAAGCCTAGTTACCTGCTGTGGCAAATACCCAGTCTGACCCAGCTGCAGTATCTGTTGGAGTTGCTCAAGGCTCTACCTTGGGCCCATTGTTGTTTATAATACATTGGACCACACACTGACAAAGTTAACTGCATGCCAAAGAAAAGCTCTGTTCTGCTCTTCAATGGCTTTTAATTCCTGTAAAATTTTTCTTTTTTTAATGAATTCTTTAACTAAACAATGCATGCATGAGAATGAGAATATCACTTACCAGTTTGAATGAATCACATGTCACTTTAGTAAACCAATCATTGTACTCCAGTGTTGAAATAATGGGAACCAAATCCCTGAAAGGTTGAATATTTAACACAAAGAATTTAATTCTTAATGATGAATATTAAAGTTGCAAGTATCCTCATAACTAACAAATAATTTCATTGACATTACTTTCACAAAAAACAAGAATTGAGAAGCACACAAGTGGTAATCAACCTTGGAACTTGTCTTCTCTATAAGTTTAATTGTTGTAAAAATTATTATGTAGAAGGCCTTACTTAATCTAACGACCTAAAATGGAGAAAAAGGGACAATCTTATGAGGCCTGGCTACACCGAACCTTTGTGCATTTCAGGCTTTAAGACAAACTGTGGCATACACGTACATGTGACAGCTAATTCCTATCATAAGAAAAATATGAAGATCTTTTGACTTACTTTTGGTCTAAGTGGTCAAAGTCCTGGATGTTCAGTACTTTGGTATTAAGTGATAAGTAAATTGTGTCAATATCCTAAATTGTAGTAAGGAAAAAAACAGGATACAATAATACATTAATTTACCCACTAAAATTCATACTCTTTCATAATTATTTCAAATCAACTGAATTCTCTTAACCATGCCCCTCATCTGCCTCTGGAAATTTGGCAGAAAAACACGTTTTGAAGCTAGTTGAGCACTTTTCTGGTCATCAAGCTGTCATGCTATAAAGAGCTAAAACTTAGCACAAAGTCGTTTACAGGTCACACACCTTGTGGCCTTCTGATCCAGATGCAAAATATCAGCTTGCGAAGTTCGGGCATGCGCAGAAAGCAAAATTTTGAAATAGTTTTTTGGCTTAAAAATGACACAACAGCCTTGACTTTTACTTTTCACTTTCTCTCCTCCCCCTTTATTCGCTTTTCTCGCCTCATTCTTTTTTGGTTGGGGATTTAGTAGGCTTCAATTTGGTGGGAAAGGTTTTTGGAAAAGCTCTTTCGATATTAGGATTAGAGGAAAGGAAAGTACATAGTAATGTCGGCAGTGGAACAAGATTTTCATGGAAATTTTCAGGTCAATGTTACATGGTTTTTTTGCCATTTTCTGGGGTGTCCTTGACTGAAACCTGCTCATTCTGGTATGGTTTGAAAGATCTCTTCACTCTGCACAAGTTACTTGTAGCGGACAAAGTTGTGTTTGACCATTACAAGAGGTAGAAGGGACGTGGATCCGCATGGGAGGTTATGAGTGGTTCAGGGGCAAATGGGTTAAAGAACAAAGAGGCATTAAGACGGATGATAAATGAAGACATACCCAAACAACTTCTTCTAAATGTGGCTGTCCATAAAAGTCACAAATAGAAACGTAGACTTTTGTAAATCCACCTAACGAAACAAGAATAAATTATTTCAGAACATACACATTACTCAAACTTGACTATCTACTGTCTGTATCCAGCAATAACAAAAAAAGGGATGGCTTATAGAGTGTTTTCGCTCACGTGGCCAGCATCTATGCAAATTTATTGGAACAAAAGAAAGCGTTTACATAAGAAAAGAGTTCAACTCCCACAAGACTGGTTTGGGACACAGACATGGCTGCCGTTTCATTGTTTCGGTACACAAATATGGCCGCCATGACGTCACGTGAAAACACACAATAGCAGGATTATATTCAATTCCTTATCCCCAGGAATAAAAACCAGTATTACTCTAGTCAGGGCTTCTGATATTTCGCGCGGTCGCGGACCTGCAAAATTCAGGTATTTCCGCGAAATCCCGCGAAATTCCCCCAAAAAAGCGAAATACCATGAAATCCGCCAGAAATATTTCCAAATACATGTCGGCAAAACATATTTAATACTTATCTTGGCTATTAGACCGGTTTTATTAACCCCAAACGTCCAAATTTAGCTTGAAACTTCATCACTGCAACAAGTAAACAATGTCCAAAAACTACCAGGCGTTTTTAGATGAACGTTGCGAAAAACTGGGCACTAACCATAATGTTGATGGCTTTAACATGCGTTCATTTCTCGAGCGAACTGTTGTTGAAAGAGCAAATGATTATCCGTGTTAAAAAAAAACGTTCACCAACGCTGGTCATATCGACGCAAAATTGATCGATTTTAGCGAAATTTGCCAAAAAAAACCCAGCAAAATCGGCTGTTTTTTACTGATTGTTTCTTGGCGAAGTTTTCTCCCGAAATTTCTCGTGAAATCGGCTGATTTTCCTAAGAAATTCTTAGGAAATTATTTGCCCCTGAAAATCCTTCGAAAATTGACTCTTTTCCGCTAAAATCCCGCGAAATGGGCCGATTGTTCCGCGAATTTTGACTTTTTTCCCGCGAAATCGGCCGATTTTTCCGGGAATTTGCCCCTGAAAATCCCGCGAAATTTTGCTTTTTTTTCCACGAAATATCAGAAGCCCTGTCTAGTGACATGGATTAAATTGTTCAGGGCTTCTGATATTTCGCGCGGTCGCGGACCCGCGAAATTCAGGTGTTTCCGCGAAATCCCGCGAAATTCCCAAAAAACGCGAAATACCGCGAAATCCGCCAGAAATATTTCCAAATACATGTCGGCAAAACATATTTAATACTTATCTTGGCTATTAGACCGGTTTTATTCACCCCAAACGTCCAAATTTAGCTTGAAACTTCGTCACTGCAACGAGTAAACAACGTCCCAAAACTACCAGGCGTTTTTAGATGAGCGTTGCGAAAAACTGGGCACTAACCATAATGTTAGTAGCTTTAACAGTCGCTCATTTCTCGAGTGAACTGTTGTTGAAAGAGCAAATGATTATCCTCGTTAAAAAAAACATTCACCAACGCTGGTCATATCGACGCAATATTGATCGATTTTAGCGAAATTTGCCAAAAAAAACCCAGCGAAATCGGCTGTTTTTTACTGATTGTTTCTTGGCGAAGTTTCCCCCCAAAATTTCCCGCAAAATCGGCCACTTTTTCTGCGAATTTTGACTTTTCTCCCGCGAAATCGGCCGATTGTTCCACGAATTTTGACTTTTTTCCCACGAAAATCCAGCGAAATCGGCCGATTTTTCCGCGAATTTGGCCCTGAAAATCCTGCGAAATTTTGCTTTTTTTTCCGCGAAATATAAGAAGCCCTGATTATTACACCAAATAACTTATTAACCATTTAATTATTCTTATGTGAGACTAAGTGGAGACATTATCTGTGACTATAACATTAAAATCAATATGCTTTGTACAAAATCCTTTGGGTTTTCCATTACATCTTTGACAGAAAATTAGCATTTGAAATTGATATTATCTCATAAAATTATTAAAAAGAAATTGAATATAATTCTTATCCCAATATTAACTCTTTACGCCCTAACGGTACCCAGCATTATTTCTCCAAACAATACCACTGTCATATCAAATGTGCAAGGGAAGAGAATGAATGAAATGATGGCCAATGATGAAATGTCTTGATGTTTTATCATTTAAACAAATTCTCTCAAACAGAACAATAAGAAACATGGAGAACAGTGAGGAGAATATACAGGTTGATTTCAGGGTTTAAAGGGTTGGGAGTGATAGGGTCAATGCTCACCACATGGTCCTGTTTCAATGTCTCCTTCTGTATTTCGCAGGTTATTTACAAGTGTTGTTACTTGTGCTTGCCGCTCATCACTTTCCTCTGGTGGACCATATACCACCCTTAGAAGTCGGCTTATGAAGCGCAACAAAAAAACAACAACAGTTAAAGACAGCAACCAGCTTGAGTAAAAAAAAATGTATAGAAAAAATCTCTTTCGGCGGTTACAGATATTTTCTGGAACAACACATTGTTAAAATAACCACAGCTATAGCGATAAGGAAAAGGAGCTTAGTATTAATTAAAAGCCATTGACATGAATACATTTCCTAAAGTTAATGAGCACAGACACTAGTAATAACAATGCAATATTGTCTGTTCCAGAAGGATCACAATATTTCTGTTCCATGTACAGTTGAACCTTGATATTGTACTGTACCTCCACATCCTTGGTACAATTTTTTTAACCCCAGTATAAAGAACCTCTATATAATGAAACCTCATTATATCGAGGTTCCACTGTACATGTACTTACTCAGGGTTGCCAGATGGGAAGTTGGACTTTAGTGAAGCTAAAATATGAGCAATTATCTCTATACTGTCTCGTGGCTGAGAAACTCGGAAATAACACGGCTTATCACCACATGTCAGCGTTATCTGAAAATAATACATGTTACGTTAAGTCTAGCCCTTAATGTATACTATCATTCAGCAAACAAAACATGTTACCATCAGAATATTACAAAAATTGTATTAACATAATATGAGTTCTTACCTACACTGTAAAAAATTATGTACCCTTAGGAAATATATCATTAACTAAAATACTGGATATAAAATAAAAGCAATGTCATGAAACTTGAATGCTGTTGTCACTGTCAAAGCTAATATACAATAAAACCTTGTCTTCAACAGTCTACACACCAACCAATATGACTCATAAGGTAAATTAAACTATGCATTTAGCCCAATTTTCAGTTAGTTTTAGCTCATAACCCTTACTGAGTCAAACTCTTTCCTTTCCCTAGGAAGTAGAAGTTAGCAGGATTCTGTGGTATAATTTAACTTTATCCATTCACAATATTTCTCCATTTCTGGCGAATTATGGAGATTGAAGAAGGTGTTATCCTCTGAGAACTCCATGATTCCTCAGATGATACAAAAGCTGAATCCAATAATTGTTAATTATTAAAGAATTGAGAGCTGACTTACTAAAAGAGGCTTACTACTCTCAATTTTCTGTATCTCCAAAATATGCATGCTGAAGTCCACCTAAAATAAGAGGAAAACAGTTTCAGACCGAGAAGAATAAAAGTACAGCCACTGAAAATTTTGCCCATAAATAATTATTATTTAATTAAAATTAAAAATTATTCCACGAGTGCGTGTTGGATATGAGATGATAGATATCCTACGAGGCACGCGGCACTGAGTTGGCTATAATAATCTCATATAATGGAATAATTGTTCTATTAAAAACGGACTGGATGAATGAAAAATCAAAACATTACAGCGATGAACATTATTGAAACCTCATTGGGATTCTTGGATTTTACACAACAAGACAGCTAAAAAACTTGCAGATAATGAGAAAAAAAAGAATTTTGAAGTAAAGCCTTCGAAATTACTGTGAATTTGGATTTTTGGTGCTGTCACAATAGTAAGAACAATGGAGGAAAACCATTCCCTCTGTGGCCATTCAGAAACTCATGCAAAGCTTGCTAAGAAGTTGTTTGAAGCTGCCAGCTGGTTTTGCTGGTCGAGAGAAGAAGCTATATGTGTACTGACACCTGGATTGCTGTAGTGAATGGCTGCATAGCTTGTATTTGTAGCTTAAGTTGCTAGTGATTTATATTCTTTTAAAATGTCGGATAAACAAGCTGCAGTTACAACTGTATCTATCGGCGAGTGGCTTTGCGATCATTAAGAAACAATAATTGTCTTCTTTCCTGGCTGGCGGGGGTATTTTAGTTTCATGTGTTTTGCATGGATAAACTTTCAAACAAACTCTTGTGGCTTTTTTGTTTGGTTGTTTTTTTTTCCCTTGATGAAATTGCATTAATTCTAGTACTTGAAGAATTGAAACTTTTTTTGGGGGGTGCCATTCTATCCTTAGAAAAAAAATCTCAGCTAGCTTCCAATCTTAAACTGACAAGTACATGTACAATGACCATATATGGAGAGCATGGTATAATGGCTCATATACCATGATGGCTAAGCCAATCAAAACATTTTGTGACACCGGTACTGGTTTCCCCACAAAAATGTCTCAGAAACAAATGCAGGAATTCCATACTGATGACACAACATTACCCAGATCTGGGTAGTGTTTCTAACTGGATGAAGCAAATTTTCAACCAATCAAAGAACTACAGTATGGAATTTCTGTACTCGGTTCTCAGACGTCATTTTGCGGGGAAACCAGTGGTGGCATTGCAAAATGTTGGCTGTTATATAATGAATATAATGAATGCCAGTTCAAACTCCAATAGTACATGATTGTATATAGCTATTTCGAGAAAGGTTGTCAGAAAAAGTGCCTCCGACAATCCCAAAAGGTTGAGTTCACTGGTCTTCAAAGAAATTTGAAAAAATGGGAGATTACCACTCCAATGGTCATATTTGATGATAGACCATCATCAACTGTAGTGAACCATTTACTAAGATTGCATGTCAATTTATGTCAAATACCATATATGACAAAACATGCCTTAATTATCACACGTACTTTACAAACAGGGCTGCCACTACGGGCCGGCAGGGGCCGGGGGTTTCCCTCAGCTACTTTCATAGCAACAAAGAGAATATGAAAGCAAAAGATCTTCCCAGTCATTCAATTCATTTTCGTTTCCCACATTTTGCGTATGCGTTGGTCGCTCATATCTGAGCTGCACTGTAGCCAGGAATATGAAATCTTAGTGACAGAACTAACTAATACAATGACATGTACTCATGCGCAGCATAACTAAACACTAATCGCAAATAAATGATACTCTTTTAAACACCATCAACTGCATTACTGTACCTTACATCCATTCTTGGAAATGGTAAGGACATAAAATCTGTGTGCAGAAAGGGCCTAAGATTTAAAAAAACAATCAAGTGTTAAATACCATAATGAAGAGATAACTGTCTTATGTCGTGTCTTGAGTCGATTTTCTTTTATGGCCAGAATTGCCTGAATCTTTGAATGCGACCTTTTATTGCAAAGAAAAAGATTGCCTTGTATTTTTTTGGCCATTTTCCCTACTTTTACTTGAAACAAGAACGTGCTTGCATCGGCATTCAGTCTCGCTCGCTTCGAGATTAGATCAAGAAATGAGGAGGTGATTAATTCTACACGAAACAAGATTTACTCGCTTAAGGTTTTTTACTTTCCACTTTATCGACGTGGATACTCTTTACTTGTTTCTGAATTGATTTAGTATGCGTGTTAGTGACGACCAGAAATATGTCTGCGGCCACAGGCTACAGTGTATACACTTGTATAAATACAAGAAAATTCAAGGGTCTCGATTCCAGAGAAATTACATCATTGCCAGAGATCAAAAAGTCATTTACATGGCACGTTATTTCAATCATCACCGAAAATATACTGCATTCTCATCACAAGACCCATGAAAGTTTACAACACGTGACCATAGCAGTTTTGCTAATTAAGATTCTTTTTTTTCATTCCACTACTCAGTAGTGTTCACTTGTTCCAAAGTAATCAACGCTTTGAAGCGATAGAATTTGTGGACCGACAGGTTTTGGAAAGCTCTAAATTTGGTTTTTCCTAAACATGTGTGACTTCAATCAGGCAACAATTCTTAGTCTCAGTTTCCATGGTCTCTGCTAGAAACACCTGGCACAATGACCCCCTCTTTGTGTATAAAATACAAACAAAAATGTGAAAATGCGTTGCAGATTATGAGTCTTGCTGCTTACGCAAGCGAGACTAATAATCTACAGTGTATGCAAAAAACAAATCGGCATTCTTTAGTTTGAAGCAGAAACAAAAGAATTTGACGAGTTCTCGCAAAATCAACAAAATCGGACTTTTTAATTTATGGTAGTATATAATAAAAGACAATATTATTCACCGGTGGCCGGCTAGTGTGGAGACAGTCCGATTTCCAACATTAAACAGAAAATGCTGAATTGATTATTTGTTCTGTTAACTAAAAGTTTTATCATGTTATCTGCAAAACAACTGAAGCATCTACCCTGAATTATGTAAAACACAACAACTTTCAGACGCTTTTGGGGCCTGAGGTTTGGGTACTTGCACACGATTTTCTCAGCTTAATGACAAGTCTCACAATGTCACGGTTTTTTAAGGAAAAAGTATTCTGAAATACAGAGGAAGAGTGCCTTTTCAGAAATGTGTAAAAAAACAAATATTAAAAAAACTGAGAGTAGCTAGTGTTTAAGCCTTTATGCCACTTTGTAGAACATTTTGGCCATGAAGTTGGCTTATCGTAGAGCTGTCACTAAGGTTTCAAGTTGCTGGGAAAATCAGGCAAGGAATTGAACTGATAAGTAGTCCTTTTGGTTTTATTTTCCTTTTACTGCTCATGAAAGAAGCCAGGAGTTGTGCTCATAGAAGCTGGGGGAAATGTCTGGCCCCTCGCCCTCAGTGACAGCCCTGTTATCCGGAAATGACCTCTTGCTATTGTTTCATCCTAGTGATGACCCATTAGAGTCATCAAAGAAAATGGCATCTTCTTACAACAGGGACTACAAATAAAGCAAGGTAGCATTTAAATAAACACTTAATTCTCCCAATGGAAATCTTGATTGGCACTCGATCAGGAAAAAAAATTGAATCTCACTACTTTTTGTATTGTCTCTCCAGACTTTCCTTTATCAGGGGTATGGCAGGTCTGATAATGTAATATTTTGGCTGGCCTATTGTGGGCATCTACAGTGTCCAAAGGACTTTTCAAATACCAAATAACTGCCTGAGGAAAAGCTGACTGACCCGCGACACAAGACAAACTTTGCTTTGCTGACAGAAAAGCAATGTCAATATTATTACAACATGGACTGTGTATCTGAAAATTTTCTACATGAATAAATTCGACTGACTCATGAAGCATGTCATTACTGAAGACGACGGTAACTGAAAATAATGTTATTTATAAAAGCTTAATAATAAATCATTCATTCCACATAGACCAGTCTCTAAGGAATTGTTTTCCATTTACAGTGAATGAAATTCACTTTTCACCCTTCTGTTTTGCTTAATTCCATTTTTAAAAACGGAAGACATCAATTCCCACAGGCAATACTATTTTCCGGGGTTATAATTGAATCATTAGCTGTGATATCGAACTTCGAAATCAATAAACATCGGGAAAATATTTACAAAAACACGAGATGGATTTGGGAAAAATTAAAATTATCTGAAATGAGAATTGAGCTTTCATTTTCCAAAGAAATTAGTTTGACCCATTATTAATAATTTACAAATAACACACCCCACAACCAACAAGCTCTCATAATATTGTTAGCTTAGCAAGATCATCTAATGACCCTTAAAGCAACTACTACCGTAGACACGCTAATCTGCTTGAACCTAGACATGGCCGCAATCAATTCAAAAATTAGAAAGTTTAGAGAGCTTAGAACACTTTTAATTAAACAGTTGTTGTTTTCTGCCATTTCCCTGTGATCAAACGTTCCTAAGAAACCCTTAATGCATTACCTATGGCGTTCTTTTGTTCGCGCGGACAATTGACAGTACAGGAATGTTTTGACTCGTAATTAAGCTGTTGGTAGACAGCAAAGAAGATATAGATCACGAATACACCAAGGTGCAAAAGAATACTGCATAATAATGCATCTTTAGAAAATTTGTTATACAATCTAAGCATTTAATTGTACGTTTCATTCAGAAAACACAGCGATATCATTTTAGATCAAAATGAGACGTCGAAGATAGTAGGAACGCTATGTGTACTTACCAAAATTCGACCTTCTGAGCGATCACCCTTGAATTCTATTTTCGCTTTCTTGATAAAAGATAATTCTATGTTTCGTCTGATAGCCGACTGCACATTTTCTAAGGACGTGATCACATAAAAAAAGAAATAAAATCAGGCAACGGTAACGAACCAAAATGATATGGTAGTGACTGGGTTTCTTTACGGAAGTGCGCCGCAAGTGTGGTGAAAAAAATGGCGTAGAAACTACGAGATTTACCTAGGAGACCTGACTCCATTTCCGCGGATTCATCTGCCATGGCTTCTTCGACCGATTACAGTGTCGATTATGGATATAATCCCCTTTTATATGGCCAAAGTCACGGCGACAATCCCAAACCGTTTTTGTCACACACTCATATCATACTGTTCATGGGCCTTCTTGGGGTTGCCGAAGAAATTACCATATTAGGTGTGTGCTAAAATTTTACTTTCTGAGGTAGGGGTGGGACCTAGGAAAAAGTGGGAATGTTCGGGGCGGGTCGCCAACGGGACAATCAATTTTTTGTCCAAAAACAATTAATTAGAATGTGTTTTTTTTATTCTGCGAAGGATCACAGACCTGAATATTTTTATTCGACGTTCAGATCTTAAAAATTTTCATGGCTTGAGAACAAAGCCTTTTCCGATCCATTATTCGATTTTGTAAATCGATTTTGTGAAGCAGTCAGCAACCTACCAAACTATCTTTTGATAAGCATTTCTTTGTGATGATATTAACTGAGTTCTTCGGTTTGTTCAACTGGTACTGTAGTGCGAAAGAGAAACAGGAGGCGCACTGCCAGGACGACGTCTTTCTTAAACTACTCCGGCTCGGTGGTGGAAGCTGAATAATGAATAATGAATAATGGGGTTAAAAAGAAAATAAACATCAGGGCCTGGTTCTCCGAATGATGGTTAAGGTTAACCCAGGATTACGCCAAATTTCAAGCAAGGTCTTCTTGTCTAAGCACATGTCACTCGAGCTTACAAATACCGTTGTGTTTTTACTCCAAGATTCAGGGGCGGATCCAGGGGGAGGGTGCAGGGGGTGCGCACCCCCCCCCCCCTTGAGATGACTTACGGTTTTCTAATACAACTGGTATTCTGCAAAAAAAAAACTATGTGGTTTATCCGGGTGCTGAAGTGGAGCAACAGACGAGTGCACCCCCTCCTAAAAAAAATCCTGGATCCGCCCCTGAGATTTAGCCTGCGTAGCAGGCGTCGAAAGGGGTAGAGGATAGGGAAAAAGGGACGCGCTTTTCTCCTTCCCCCTCTCCCTCCCCTTTTTGCGCCTGCCACGCAATGTTACTGCATGGGTAGGTAAATACCCAGGAGGGGTACTCCGGATTTCAAGTGACAGGGATGATCGAATGGGGCCAAAAATCAAAACCCGAAAAAATCACTGGACCAAAATTTATCCCCCAAAAAATCTCAAGCCAAATTTCCGAGCCATAAAAATTTCCAGAGGAACTACGTGGCCGCATGAGACGAGGGAACTGTAACGAATTTTCAGATTGTTTTGAATACCCCCAAAAATACCTACTTAAATCAAGCTACCAAAACAAATACCCGCCAAAATTTTCCCACGCAAAAAAATCCCCGAAATAAAAAATTTCAAACCCCCAAAAATCTTTTAATCATCTCTGTCACTTGAAACTTGGAGTACACCTCCTCCCCCCTTGAGGGGGGTGGGGGTAAATACAAAATTTTTAATCCTGGATTAGCACTAATCGGGCTTTCAGGAATCGGGGTCAGTGGCGTACCTACCTCCGATACAACAAGCCCGGGCTTAACAAAATTGGGGTGAAAATGAGCTTGGGTAATCGCATGTAACAAGGAGTGATTGCAAAAAATGGCGAGGCTTCCCTCTCTTGAAGAAATCGTGCCGAAATCACCGTTTTTTGTGCGAACAGTATGGTTCGGACAAAAGATCGGACAAGAAATCGCGATTTACGGTCATTTCGTTCCATAGTCAGATTGTTCCAAGTCAGATCGTTCCAATCAATAGTCAGATCGTTCCACAAAAACGTCAAGTAAATTTTTCTAAATTTGTTGAGAAAACATAAAATCGGATATGAAATCGGACAAGAAATCGGACAATGAATCGGACATCAAATAACAATGAAATCGCACATGAAATCGGACAAAAAATCGAACAAGAAATCGGACAAAAGTTTGGACAAAAAATCGCACAAGAGATCAGTCATGAAATCGGTCAACTGAAACGGACCTCAAATCGGACAGGAGAAATCAAATCGGACATCACGCTCCAACCTCGTCCCCAGGGCTTTTCCAAGCCCTGGGGACGAGGTTGATCTCGGTCAAGAAATGGGACAAGACATTGGACATGGAATCGGACAAAAGATTGGACAAAAAATCGGACATCCAATCGGATATGAAATCGTACAAGAAATCGGACAAAAGATCGGGTTATGCGGACAAGAAATCGGACAAACAATTTTATAAGAAATCGGACATGGAATCGAGTAAAAGATCGGAAAAAAATCGGACATCAAATCGAACTTGAAATCGGACAACAAATCGGACAGAATTCGACAAGAAATCGGACCAGTCATCGGACAAAATCGGCCAAAAAAACGGACAAAAAATCGGACAAGAAATCGGTCAAAAAATAGGGCAAAAATCGGACAAGAAATCGGACATGGAATCGGACAAAAAATCGGACTAGAAATCAGACAAGAAATCGGACAATAAAGTGACAGAAAATAGGACATCAAATCGGACCAGAAATCAAACAAAAATTGGACATGAAATCGGCCATGACATCGTAAAAGTAAAGGAAGTAAAATGGGGGATGACTGAAAACCACTCAACTGCCTTCTCTGGTTTAACCTCTTTTAGATGACATTTTCACTGCAGAATGCGGTACTTTGTTAGCCAGAAACGCCATATACAAAAAAGCCACTTAGGCTGGTACTTTTACAACAACGACGACCGCGATGACAAAGACCAACAGTAAATAGCCTGAGTATCAGGCGTTTCTGGGGAAAAGGGGAAAGATGGAAGCGAAAAAGGGAGAGAAAACACAATTCTTGCTCGGGTTTTATTTTTATTCCAGAAAAGAACTTGAGAGCGCCCTCTAGAGCCTTTTTGGAATTCCTCTCTGCGTCTCTGTTTGTAAAAGTATCACATACCGGTAACATGAAATCAAAACGTGTATGAAAAATTTCAATGACCGCCTCCTTGCCGATCGCTCTTGCGGTCAGTGACGTCAGGGGGTATTGTGTGTTATCCAATCACTGCCACATCCAGATTTTGGATGTGTCACACGATTTGCTGAATGGTTTTGTGTCAGGCCTTCCTTTCTCTTCTCCCCCTCCCCCTCCCCCATCTAAAATCTCCTCTCCCCTAGCCCCTTAGGAAGGCCTGATACTCAGGCTAAACAGTAAAACGCAATAGGATTAGATTAGCAAAACAACAAGGTTGCACTTGACTGCAGCACAATCTTTTATACATCTCTTTTCACATCTCTTTTGTTTTCAGTCGTCGCCCGACAATGAAGTGAACTCGAGAGGACCACTCGTGGCACTTTCACAAGGAACGTGTCTGTTTGGCTTTTATTTTAGGAAAAAGATGGCTACCAAGGGAGAAAGATGCTATTTAAAAAAGCATCTTTCCTTTTTTTTTCTAGCTTGATAGCCTGCGAAGCTGGCGGGATTAGCAAGCGAGTGTTGTAGTCTTTTTGGCGGCGGAGCCGCGTGAACTTGATATGAAAGGGGCGGGGATGTTCGTCAGGAAATTTTGAATTAAACCCCTAGCTAAAGGAGACCAATATGGGCGTGGCCCAACCTTTTTGACCCCTGAAAGAGACCATTTTAAACTTTGATTACATGAATGGAGTGAATAAAACGAACTGAAAATTCGCGTGGAATCCTAAGAGAGGCCTTTACAGCTAAATATGATGGCATTTTGCCCAGAATACCTTGAGTGAGACCAAAATCCAAAATTTACAACACCAAGCGAGACGACAAGCATCCCCGCCCCTTTCATATGGGAGTCCCCCCTACCCCCCCCCCCGGTTGTGGCGAATAGTGGCTAAAGATTTAAAGACCGTGATCTAATGAATGCCCTAGGCATCTTATTACTCTAGGATTTCAAGGGGAGGAGGCATTTAAAACAGAGAGGCATTTGTTCTCATAATTATAACAAGCTCAACAAAACTAAAACGCTTTCCGAAAAAATATAAGGAGAGTTTATAAACGCAACCACTGATACAACATACGTCTAAGCCATCTAGAGATTCTTGTTGTTCTTTCAAATCTCAACTTCAACGACAGAATCCTCATTCAGGCTTCAAGATGCGAAACACAAACCCTAGTTAATAAGCACAAAACTGAATAACTTAACTGAGTTTGCTATTTCCTAGTATTTCAGAGTAATTGTCTTGGGGTGAGCATCTATTAGCCTGTGTACAGACCCCCCCCCTTCCCCTCCCGACAGGCTAGCATCTATAAGACAGGGGTCATTTGTTAAAGGAGGCTGATACAAACTTCACAGTGTAGGGAGGGGGTGTCTTCTTTCAGAAAAGAGATGATTACTTAAGAAGATGAGGGGCATCTATTTGAAGGGCAACACCTCACAATTTTTTCCACAGCGTAAAAATTCAGAGTCAGGAACAAATTATCTCACTAGAGCGAGAGTCAAACGGTTAAATCATTTTTAGCTTAGTTAATTATTCCTAGAAAAATCATTGTCCTTCATTAGAAATCACAACTTTGGAGGAGGAAGGGTAAGTTCTTTAGGTGATACAATAATACCATCAAGATCTGAGTAAACATAGTGTCCGGGTGTAAAGTTCACTCCGGCAAAGCGCACTGTAATGTCTCTTTCCCCTTGGCCTTTCTTTATGGACTTCAAAGGCATTGTTCCCAAAGCTCTAACACCCAACTTCATTTGTCCAATTTCTTCGGAGTCCCGTATACAGCCATACATCAACACTCCCGCCCAGTTGTTTTTGACAGCCATTGCGGCAAGGTTGTCACCTAACATGCCACATCTCAATGAACCTCCTGCATCTACAACAAGGACCTGAAAAGGAAATGAAACACGGAAAATGAGAACTACAGTTGTAATTAACTCAGTGACAGATCCAGGGAAGGGGCCTGTCCCCGCCCCATTTATTTTTAGACCGGGACTCGTCTCCAAAAAATTTTTTTTTGGAGACCACCCTCCCCCCTTATCTCAGGGTCTGGATGACCATCCCCCCTCTCCCTTATCTGAAGGTCTGGATCCCCCTGCCACTGAAACTTATTAATCATTCATGCAGTCAAAAGCCAATAAAAGACGACCATTTGGGTCACATGGATGAATCTTGATACGTACTGAAACACCAGATAAAAAATACCACCGGTATTTGATCTGAGATGATACATGTTTTTCATCTGAGATCAAACACTTGCATTTCAGTGAGGTGTTTTATTGATTAACACAACTCATGGAAACAATGCAATACCAGATAAATGTCTCTGCATAATTTCTTATTGTTTCATGTCAAAACCTCATGCTTCATGCTTCATCATGGGTTCCAAACACCTTGAAACAGAAGAAAGCAATTGGCTTCAGGCCTCATGCTTTCATCTGTTTCTTGGTGTTTGGAGCCTGTGATGAGCCACTCGCCTTACCTAGTCCCTGTTATCATATATGTTGCCATGCTGTACCTCTGCCATAAACTTATCATCTAACTGAACCTGGCTTCTAGACCTTTTTAACCTTTTAGTTATTTCAGGAAGTCAGTACCCCTTTTATTTAATTAATTAATCTAATAACTTGTAAAATAACTTTACTATCTTGCTGTGGGTACAATAAATTGTTGTTGCTGTTGTTGCTGTTGTTGTGGACAATAAATAGGTCAGCTCTATACCAATGATACAGGGCAGAGACCAAAGTGAGCGTGACACACAAAAAAGGGCCTATGCACTATGGAATCACTGTAGCTTCATTTAGAAGGCAGTCCTAATCTAATAACCCATATTCCCAGGTATGGATTTGCAGAATTTCCTTCTTCTTGTGCATAAATAAGCCACATTCAAGGTTAATGTATGTACATACAGGGTCCAAAATAATGCCGATACTTCAATCCCATCATTCTGACCCAAATTTTTGCTCCATCCCCTAATCCCGATCTGGTGCATACTTGAAAGGAGGCGGCGTGGCCAAGCAGTTAGGGCGTTGCACTTATTTTTCAGAGGCCCCCTTGTTCTCAGTAGTCAGAGTTCAACTCCTCGGCCACACTGTCTTGTAAAATAGTCAACTGCTTTGCCTCCAAACAGTTGGGATTCTTAACCATGTTATATTCCATTTAAATTGTTTGCTTCACTTTCCCTGAAAAGCTTCACGAGGGGAGAGCTAGAGGATAATTTAAGAATTATTATTACTATTATTATTAACCTTGAATCTTGCCCCCATTTTGTTTTGAAACCCTGAATCCTAGGCAAATACTGTACTCGGAAAAACTTTTGGAGACCTCTGAATGTTTATTACGCATTTTTCAGTGGCCACCCCAGCGGGTCGATCCCAGGGAAACAAGCACGAATTGATGACATTTGCTGCAAATCTTTAGTCTGGGACAGGGAGAGTGGATCGCTTTTGCACTCTTGTTGTAGGATCTCCAGGGAAAGACCCACAGGACATGCAATGCCCCTAGCCATCAAAAAAGCAAAATATACAACGAATCCTACATGAAGAATACTTTTCCTTTCCAATACAATGACTTAGCAAAGTTACCTAAACTTTTAATATCACATGCAGTATACAGGTGCATTTAGACTGCAAAACAGTCGGTTTTTTTCTCAAAATCAGTAAAGAAGTCGGTAAAGCGTGGCGTAAGAGTCTTGCGTCTGCGAAGCGCGCGAGCCTCACACGCCCGTCTCCAGTCCCCAGTCTCGCTCTCTGTTTTCAGCCTCGTTCCAGAACTTTTGTTTGACTGCTTGCGCGTACTTGAATACGCAAAAATACGGACTGTTTTGCAGTCTAAGGTGCATTTTACTTGGTTACTTTTTATGAAACCTTTAAATCACAACTCTATAGAAAAAGACCATTGAACTTTTTAACTGTTCCCCCAAGGAGAGGGGCAATGGTAGCTCTTTGCAAAGAAATCTCTTGTTCTTGGGTGTGGGGGATTTGTAAACTAGGGGCACTCAATGTCAATTTTCGGAAAATATCTGTTAGGAAGACGATTTGAGATCTAGAATTTTCGGAACATATTTTGTAAAATTTGTTGCTTGCCTGCATGTCTCTTCTAGAATTTTCAAAATGGTATACTCTAAAATTCTGAAAACAATTAAGCCCAAGAGCTTATATTTTTCAAAGGCCCTTTTTGAGGGGCTTATTTTTGGAGGGGCTTATATTTGGAGAGGCTTATTGATTGGGCTAGCTAGTAGAGGGAAGGAAATTTACAATTTTTTCTTCGTTTTGCTTTGTATTTGAGGGCAAATTCCAAGTACAAGCCTCTCGGGGGGGGGTATATTCGGAGGGGCGATTTAACGCAGGGATTTTTGCGTCACGATTTTGGGGGGCTTATATTTGGAGGGGCTTATACATGAGGGGCTTATTTTCTGAATTTTACAGTAATTGTCCATTTTTATTGGATTTTTCCTGTAAAAAGGTCAGTTAGAATTTTCGGGAGCCTTTTTTCTGGCTGAAATTTTCGAAAAGGTAAGTTTTGATCCCTATAATTTTCGGATCATTAGACTTTCAGCTAGGAAATCCGAATAGGTGAGAAATTTGTAGGGGATAGGAATATGCCTATATCTACTGTTTAAATACTAAAATACGTTTAACAGTGCTATGTTTAAGTGGTTTCAAACTATATTCTCGTTGGGTGCCCCTGTGTAAACGTCGTTGTAAAAATAATAAGGGCATCAGATGGTCAGGAAATAGGAAATAAATAATTATTATTTATTTATTTTTATATACACAAACCACGTATCATAATATCCCTACATGACCCCGTTAGAACTACAGAATTAAATTTAATGGCACTCATTTGTAACTGAGCCACCCACTTCTCTCACCCGTTTGTTTCCTTGCTCACTTAAAGCTTGTTTCACAAGAACATTGTCTTCGTAGCACTTCACTGTAGAAATCATGCCACCAAACTTGACGTTCCCTCCGTAATTTTGGAATAAATTCGGCTCCACATACTGTAGAATGTCGTTGTAAGCATCGCTAAGGTCTGCAGTATTCATTGCACTACTACTCTCTTTGGTAATTTGTCGAAATGAAGCGACGAGAGAACGAGGAATCACTGATTTGGAACGTGGTTTGGAGAATCTCGCAAATGCCACGAGTCGAACAGCCATACTTTTGGCCGAGGGAGGCTGGGGATGAACTGGGAGGTTTCCACAGGTCTCCCACCGTGGGTGCAAGAGGTCACGCGCGATCTATCGTGAAAACGAAAAGGATCCAGATCAGCATTGCTTAATTCTCAATGTGTCTACTTAGTGAAAAAGGCTAATTGGCTCCTGCTTGGACAAAATAAATGACAAAATCAAAAATGGAAAATGGCGACGGATTCAGAGTGCGAAGCCGCGAAAGCGAGTCCGAGTCGCCTCTCGCGACCGATGACCGATGACCTATAAGGAAGCGATTGTGACTGACTGGTATTCTTCCGCGTCTGTTTCCGACTCCGAAAACCTGGTTTTCATCAGATCGTAAGTGACAGAGTCTCTCTTGATAAGCGGAGTCGGCAGAGAAGTGACAACTGATTGTTCCGCTCAGATTCTGTCGAGCTTCTGACTCTACTAACGTCTTTGATTTTGTTGATTTTCACTAGGCAGAAGCATCAGGCTTCTGCACTAGGTCATAAGTGTTCACACGACTCCGCCGCTAGTGAAAAACCAGCCTTAACACATTTAAGAACAGACTCCTGAAGGTACAGGTAAGGTATTGGCAGCGAAGGGGTGGGGGGGCACTCCTTAGTCACGAGATGAAGTTGAAATTTTAGGACAGCTTCAGGTCGGCTTTACTTAAAATGTTGCGAAAAGACGCAACTCATAGCAAATTTACTAAACCTTGATGAAAATTGACAAAAAGACTTCCTATTTTAAAGATTTATTCTTATTTTAAAGTAGGTACGTCAAAGGGGTACCATTCTTCAATGAACGCCGAAAGGGATACTTTTTCTATCAAAAATCGTATTTAAAAGGATAAGGGGCTGGGCTCCCGCACCTCAGGGCGGAGGCTCCCCAGAGCCAAGGTATAGATTACCAAGAGAACACTGATGGAGGTTACCTAACACTGTAACACTTCAGGGACACCCCTTAAGGGACACCCAGCGACTGTTTTCTGTAAAATATCTGTTCGGAGAAGCAAATATTGCCTAGAATTCTCTATTACTGTTGAGGACGGCCAAAAATTTATGACCGTTCCATTCATGTACAATTTTCGAAGCTTATCTAATAGATTCCCTACGATTTCGATCTGACGTTTGATTTTCACATTTCACTTCCCAAGTTAGGCTATTTTTCGTAGAAAAAAGGAAACCTAATAGTTTCGGATTGAAAAATGCGACAAAGAGAGGAATCAGAAAATGTCTCACTTTTCTACTACGTCAAATTGCCGGCTCTAAAATGATCGGGAAAATAATACTCAAGCCCTTGCAAATTCGAAAAGACTCTAGTTCCCCCAGGATGACCGAACAGATACAAATTTTCATAGTGCCGCTTAGAATGCATTTCTACAGTACTCTGGATAGCCTAAAAAGTGATTTCAATGTATTTACTATGGGAGGAAACCGTCGTTGGGTGCCCCTGACACTCCCAACGTACTCCTTCCGCTTCAGAGCGCTAAATCGCATCATCATCCGATTAAAGACACCAAAAGTGCTTGATTTTGCGGAACTACTTTTTCAGCTGTAATGGTTATTCTCACTGGGAATAAATTTTTGCGGTTCAAGCGATTGCATTCAAAATTATTGCGTTTATTTGAGACAAAACTACAGGCGGAACAACATCCGTAGGTAAAACACAAAAATAAAGTGCACTCTAAGACGAATAGGTGCTACAAGTGTGATGATGCAACAACGCAAGAAAATGAAAGATTAATTTCTGTTTTCTTACCCCTTTGCTAAAACGAAAACTGGAACTGCCTCATGCAATCCATATCATTTATTAGCCAATGTGCAAACAAATTTTTAATCTGATGGGATTAATGATACGTTCCCTTTGGGAAAATTGCCAGGCTTTTGTTGTGAACGAACAAATCGAAACAATAGTCGAGAGAATTGTTTTACAATAAAGAAACCGGAAAAAGGATTTGAAAACAATTTTTCAATTACTGGTTTTGCCGACACAATTGAAAGTTAATTACAGCCAATCGGGTGTCTTACTATAATGGTGTCGGATATCGAATACCGTCAGAAGTATATGTGAGTAAACTTACGTCGTCAGGCAACTATTTGCATCAAAGAGTACTGCTTGTAGGATTGTGCCTTTCTTTTGTCCTTCCTTCTGCTGGTTTTTCCGTTCAAATCTACCTTCCTTTTGTTCAGTCCATCAAGTAAAAAACAAAGTGAAAACCGCACAGCTCAACAGCAGTTTTTCAGCGGAGGTAAGCTTTTAGTATTACAATGTGTCTTGGTCCAAAATTGTTTTTTTGTCCTTCAAGCTAGCGACGTGCTTCCCATAATATTATTTCCTCTGTTGTTTTCCCTGAATGTCTTCCAGGGAGGGGACGAGGCCGGCTCAGATATCTTTTCAGTACTTAGTTAAGACCAGGAACGGACTGTTGATCGGTTTAATTACGATCGACTTGCCAATGGGATGTCCCATTTACGGATCTCAAAAGGCTTATTTATGTTTTCACTTAAGTGTGTTGTTCTCTTGTCTGAAATCTGCAGGTTCCATCCATTTACCTTAGCTCCTAAACACGCGAAATAAAACTCACTTCTCGCCGAAAGTTGCGATTTTATGATCATTATTTTGAATGTAGTTATTCGAGATGTGCTCTCGAGATTGTAGCGTCATTCCATTGCAAAACCTGCACACACGCTAAAATTACATGTAATGTGCCTTTTAAGGATAAAAGGAAATTAATTGTTCGTGCCGACTGCTCGGAAGTATTCAGCTCAGTGGCAAGACGAAAAAGTTGAGTCACTGTCAGGAAGTTTCTCAGTGAGGCCAAATTTTTTTCGTGCTGACTCATTCATGTGAACAAAACTGCTTTACTGACTATGCAGAGAACAAACCATGCTGAGAAATGCAAAGTCAACAAAACTTAAAAACTGGTTAAATTAGAGATTTTATGACACTTCCGCCTAATCAGTAAAAAAATCCAACAAGACCTATCCAATCAATTCGTTGCTAGCCAACAAATACAGCCAGGCCGATGCCTTGATTCGCAGGCTCTCACACTACGGAACTGACGCAATATCGGATCAGTGGCCAAATCGAGAAACATGTAATAAGTTATATATAGTTAAGTTTAAAGTGCATAGCTGGATTAGAGGATCTCTCAGGGGTATTTAATAATTCTTTCTGCGTTCTTCTCGGCATGGTTATCAGAAGGTCAACTTATGTTTGAGTACGTACGTACGTATAGTTACGTAAATTTTCCCGCTGTGCAAGATAAAAGCGAGAAGCTAAAATTAGCTGTGAACTGATAGAAAAATAAAACTCAAAAACAAAAGAGTGATGGAAAGATATACAAAGTGACACTCTTAAATTTAGACCAAGTATCACTGACAACAAAATACATATTGCTGCCTACTACTTTCGATCAACTAATTTAAAGGGTCCATTATTCTAGAACTTCGGCCACTTCCTGGGAGAACGTTTAACATTACTAAAATTACGGAAAACTGATCTAATTGCCAAGTTTATTTTGTTCCAATAATTCTCTAATCTTCTGAATGATCAATAACTTGATTGTTACAATGACTGATTACATAATTGATTAACAATTTGCTGGCGATAACCGATCCCATATAGGAAGAGTCTAATATGTGGGAAAACCTTTCTTTAATTTAGCTTTAATTTTGCCACCCAGAGGAAAAAGTGCATTCAGGCACACCAACTGTGATGAGAGTGACGTCTTTCTCTTTCTTCAAATCTTATAATTAATTGTCCTTAGCTGATCCCAAATTTGTGATCTTCCGCCTATACTAAAGGATAAGGATACTCTTGGCTTTAAACATAGATAGTACTTTCAAAAGGAAATGATATCTCATTAGCACAAATCGCCTTACCTATCAAAATTCCCGTTATAGATTTTTTTATTAAGAGGACTTCCTTAATCCCTATAAACTAAACACAGTTAGAATTTTATCTTGGCATACATTTATAAAAATACATTGCTCGACTGAATATGTAGCAGCAGGAGCGGCTCCTGGTAGCAGTGGTTATGTACAGTGAACATCTGTATAAATAGCCTGCGTAGCATGGCGGTTTTATCGAGCCGCGAGAACGGACTTAGCGCGCCCAACCAAAACCGCCATGCTTCGCAGGCCACTGTATAAACATTGAAGACCCCGGTTACCATAAGCTTTTTGAGCATCGAGGAAGAGGAAGCCGTTGCTATTTTGGAGTTGCCAATCTGCTTAGATTTACTTCCAGTAATTCCACGTTTCAAATTTTTTCCATTCCTTGCACCGCCCAGTATGCCAGCTCTACCTTGCTACAGTTACAGTCTTGGAAATAATAAATACAATAGCAAATTAATTCCCCTTTCCTTCTAAGTCAAGAATGAAGCTCCCAAAACAAAAAAAATTTGAAATTTGCCATTTTCCTATCATAGATTTGGGACTAGGGGACCTCAGGTTTATGGGCTTCTCTAGGAAACTTTCCGTCTATTTTGTCATAGAATTCCTCGAACTAGTTCCGTATAGGTTAAGGGTTCCAGGGTACCAGCAGGCATCCCCACCCAGAAATAGAAAGGCGTAGCCTACGTGGCAGGGAAGGGAATTGAGGTTGCGAGACCGCACGCGAGGAAGGAGCGAGGCTCTCGCGCGCCCAAATTCCCCTTCCCCCCCCTTTAACGCCCTCCTCCTTTTAGATAGATAGATAGATAGATAGATAGATAGATAGATAGATAGATAGATAGTTTATTCTGATTAAAATCGCATCTAAAAGCTGAATTAGATTAATCATTACAATAATAAAATCTAATAAAAATATGAGAAAAAATATAGGAAAAATGTACACATATGTAGCTAAAAATTTAATTACAGTTGCTATATATAAATGTGTTC